GCACGCACTGCGCGGCAGCAGCACTGCGCGCACGCACCGCGCGGCAGCGGCAGCAGAGCGGGGCCCACACGACAACTCATAGGGGTAGGCCCACCCTTATCTGGACACGTCAACTCGCCGCCAGCTTAATCCTATCCCTTATCCCATATCTTATCCTTATTTTATCTTCTTAAGTAAGAGTTATGAGTTTTAGTTTAAGTAGGAAATTAGGAATTTTAGTTTGAGTTGGATTACCCTAGCCTAACCGAATCCAACAAGGAATTCCCTTCTGTAATCTCTTATTTAAGGAGCTACGAATTGAAATAAAGTATTCAGTTTTCCAGTCAAGAAACGAGTGAGGAGAGTTTGGGTGGTCTTTTGGACAAATCACCCCAAGGGAGAGTTCGGGTGGTCTCTTGAACAAATCACCCACTAGATAGGCAAAATAGGGTCTGTGCACAAGGCCAAAGGCAAGGGAAGATCAGGGGTTCCTGCCGTGGAACGACCCGTGACGCGATCCTACGCTCGGGCCCATAACATTTAACATGAACTCTATACTTTTCTTATGAAAATTATTAATAATTCTTAAGTAAATATGGTTATGGTACCTAGGGAACTACCCTAGGATCTATGTTCTCTACATAAAAAAATCCATCGCCTAGGCAACAAGGCGTCCTCCCTGTTGCCTAGCCTCGTCTTGGTTCCTTGAAAACTATGCCTGCTGCTTTGTTTTCCTTGGTCAATTTGAGAGTGTAAGATTGGTAATCTCTGGTGAATACAAGAGTCAAGCTTGATATTGAGAAGGGCAGTGGAAAACTTAATCTCTTGGCTATATGCAAGGGAACAATCTAGTACAATATAACTTACCATTCTCAAAAAAAAAAAAAGAAGCCAATCTTGATATCATCAACATTTTCTGTTTCTTTGTTTTTTCTCTGTTGAACTTTGTACATAGATGGTAGAGGATTGCATTTTCTTAGTCAACTAACTGCTCCAACAGTCAATATGTAGTAAAAAAGCCAATATGAAGATTCTAACAGTCAATGTGTGTTTTCACTCCTAAGTAGCTTTTCTTTTTTTCTTTTTATTTTTTGATAAGTTCACTTCTTTAATGTTGCCAAGTTATATTTGGAAAGGAAAGAAAAAAAATGCATCAGATGAGTTGGGGTTCTTTGGATGAGGATTTCCTTGTACATTGTAAAGAGTAAATCTTATTGACTTCAGTATACAACTAAGGGCCAATTTGGTTTGCAGGAATAGGGGTCAGGAATCGGAATTGGAATGGCCCATTCCGATTCCAACTGTTTGGTTGGGCAGAATAGGCATCCCATTCCCATTCCTGGTGGAATGGCATTCCCCCATTTGAGGGAATATCCATTCCCTCCGACTCCCTTGGGAATGAAATCCCATTCCAGTTGATTCCAATTCCTGTCTGAATCAAAGACTATGGGAATAGATCATTCTGACTCCAATTCTGAAGGATTTCGATTCCGATTCCAATTCCAACTGCAAACCAAATTGACCATAAGTGCACTTTATCAATTAATGAATCTATTATCATTGTAGTAATCTTTATGAAGAAATCTGCATGCAGAGCAGAAAATTTCTTGGAATTGCTGTAGTTATTCTTAGGACTTATTAGTCAAGCAGACTTTTACCATTCTAATTCTGAAATAAAATCAAAGCATTGTCAATGTCAAAACTTTATTTCTCCCATCATGAAGTATTTCCCAGGAGTCTGTCTTTCTTAGCGAAGCCTTCAAATGACTTTTCCAGATGGACTTGGATATTAATGTGGGCTTTCTAGTTGCTACACAGCCTACACTATCCCCTCTCTCCTATATAAAACTATCCTCTCAGTCTTTGAAGGGGTGGTGGCAGGCCACCACCCACCCTCTGGCAGCAATTTGTCTGTAATGTCTGGTATGAGGAGCAATACCTGACCCCACATAGCTGCAGTAATATCTTCTTTTGAAAGATGAAAAAGCTACTGATCTATCTCCATTGCTGCTCTTAAAGATTTTCCTCAAACTGGATATGTATATAAATTTTCCATCATGAGTCTGGCAAGGTAAATGACAAGGAACCCCTGTACTAGTTAGCCATTTATTTTATAACAATTGACCTGTACTTGGAGTGGAAGCTTAAGAATAGATGAGTATTTGGATAATATGTGGGCTAACTGTAGTATTTTGGACAAAATTATGGAAAATTACGCATGGTGGATTTAACAATGTTGTGTTTTATTATATCTCTAGATCTTTTAATTGTGCAGCCCACACTATAGCCCAGAAAGCAAAATCTTGGAATTATCAGTATGGGCGATGGCATATTCCACCATTTGGTTTGAACAGTATGCATATAATGTTTTTTGATAGTAGTTAATGAATCGTTTTGTTTATCTATCAAAAAAGAAGATGAATATTAGATACCTACTGTCTGTTCCCTTGTAAAAGATACTTTATCCATGGAATATCTTTATAGTTTTCTTTTTTTTTTTTTTTGCCTTGGCTGAAGAAAAATATGCAAGGTTCTGTTTGTAGCTGTTCGGCGATGTGAACGAATCTCTTATTGTTTAAATCTGGCTTGCTCCATCTTTCCCAAGTGGACAATGAAGTATGCGGATCCTAGAATCTCTTTTCTTTTTTCAAAAGGTAAGAAAGATGCCAGTGATTGAAGAATAAATAGATGAAGAGGGGATAGATAGTAAAAGGCTGAAAGCTGCAGAACTGGCAAAACAAAGTCTGTGGTAACCATTAAATTCAACAAGCTCAATCACATTCACATGCACCCATCTTATCTCCAAAGTTGATCCTAACCATGAATTGCAGGCTCACAGCAGCAGATCACATGTGAAGGAACACTGCAACGTACAGGGTTGGTACTTGAAGGGGTAGCAAATCTTTCTGGCACTACACCAACCTCTCATAAAGGGACGGGTTGCTAAATAATGTTGCAGTATTTCATGGTATAATGACATTGAGAAGGAAATGGCAGCAGGCTTGCAGACATGCCATTGACGTCCTTTTCAGGATGCAGATTCTCCATATAACAATAATAGAAGTGTGTTTGGTCATCAAAATTTACAACCAACAAACTGGTTCTTGGCAGGACTAGATCTTTTAGGCAAGTTGTCGAACTCATGTTCTCTAGTGGTCCTAATGGAACCCGGCCACTCATGAAAATCAAATTGTTGGGTCCCTCTTATATTATTGTATGTCTTCTGGACCAATTTTCAAATGATCCACCTCAGAATGCACTTTGCTGAACTTGTTTTTTCTCATCTTTTTTGGTGGGTAAGGTGGGATTGAACCGTGACCTCACAACTGTAGTGTAATGTCAAACGCCAAGTACATATTCTTTTAAGAAAGGTGATCTTGACAACATCATACAAAAGGAAGTTCTGTTTGGTTGAGTTTTTTAATTAGTTTTCTCAAGCAATAATCAAAGGGCTCAAGGTCTCAATCCATCAATTGTTTCTGTTAATTAAGAATCAAACTAGAAATTATTTCAACCATATTCAAAGAATCTGGTTGGGACCCATCATCATCTTTAGAATTTGATTTTCATACATAGGTAGATCCCCTTTGAGGGTGAAAGCAGGAACCCAAGTGATCTGGAAAATCAAGATCATTGAAAACCAGGAACTATTACAGTTGCTTGGTACGTACTGAGCGATTAATTGCACTGTTTTCAAAACCGGACTGGACCGGATGGTCGGACCAGAAAAATGGGAACTGGTCACCTGATTGGTTTCATTTTCTTTCAAAACCGTTTTTTCCTCAAAACCGTTGATTTTGGTAAGTAAACCGCTGAATCGATCGATTAATCGTTCGAACGGTTTTGACTGTTTTCCAATTTTTTATTTATTTATTTATTTTTTTTGTCAGAATAGAATCGGTAACCAGACCCCTGACCGGTTTGTTTTTAAAAACCATGATTAATTGTGACTTATGAGGTGCATATAACTGCCATAACCATGGTAATCAGATTTAGAACTTTCCATGTATTTTCATGGACACAACCACCAAGAAAGTAGAAGATTCAGCCATGAAAAAACCATTAGACTAGTTTCATATCCAGTGAATTGGAACCCAATTAATTAAATAGGCCGAACTAGAATGTTAAAGGCCAAAATCATCCTGATCAGGTGAGAATTTGCAAAAGCACCTCCTCTATGGACTAAATCTGGGGACATTACAGTGCGGGAATTAAGGGGGGAAAAAGTAAACCAGATGCCTCATTCTAAATGATAGGGCAATACTTTGGCTCCAATACCACGTTGGAGGACATGCGTCCTATCACCACCTGATTTTTACATCTAAACTTTAAATCCTAAATTCAAACTCTTAATCCTTAAACCCTAAATCTTAACTCTAAATTTAAAATTCTAAAATCTGAACTCTAAACTCTTAAACCCTAAATCCTTAAAATTTAACAGTATAAAATGATAATGATAAGATGCATGTCCTCCAATGTGGTAGCCAAGTAGTTTTCCTAAAGGACAGTGAATGGGTACTCTCATCATCTCATAACATCAGTCGTTGGAAAGTAACAGACTTATTGGTGAAGATTCTTTTGGTAACATGCAGCATGTTATCTTGTCTCTTGGTTGGAAAACATGTACATTTTGCTGAGTTCGGCTTCGGTCAGTGCAAGTCCGTTTGAACAGCCTTTACAGCATTGTATTAGGAATATTTCCGTGCTTATGTGCTATATTTAATAAGAAGATATTTGCAATACAAGGCTTCGAGATATTGTTTGAACAGTATGAATGCGGGCTTGCACTGACCAAAGTCGAACTCATTTTACTAGGCGCTTTAGAGTTTTGGGTCGTTTGAGTAGGTGCAAGTGTGCAACCATCGTGGCTAATCCTGTAGGTGTAGGAGGCCGGTTGAGACTTCAAAATTTTAGCTTTGCCCCAACTCAAAGGTATAAATATTCTTCTAATTCTTGGAGTGCCCTGCAGAGTTACTGATGCAAGCTCGTTAGCTGAAGGTCATAAAACGGATTCGGGTATCTGAATGCTCGGGTCTTCGGTTGGATTGGAAAAGGCTAAACCCTAATCTTAAATATTTAGGTTAGGGTTGACCCACAGGTTGAATATGTCAAAAGGGTCAATTGCCTGAGATCGGCTTCAGTCAGTGTAAGGTCCGTTTGAACACCGCTCAAACAGCCTTTACAGCCTTGCATCGGGAACATCTCTGCACTTCTGTGCTTTATTTTGTGGGAGATATTCCCAATGCAAAGCTATAATGAGTGTTTGAACGGACTTTGCACTGACTGAATCCGGCATCCAATCACCTGGGTCAACTGATATTTAATCAATTCAATGGTTATTTTTACCAAAAATATAGTTTTAGCCATTGATTCAAATGGTTTGAATGGTTCAACTGTCTAGACCAACATCAATTAAAAAGTGTTGGTTTGAAAATAGGCGACTTGGTGGTGACATAGAGCTGTAATGTGGGCTGGGACAGTGGCGGTCTGGCACAATTCAGCATGACGGGCCATGTTTGGCATGGCACGGGAATACAGGCCATGCCGGGCCTAGGCTGCAGAGGATCAGGCCCCAAAAGAATGGCCTGGTGAGAATTATTTGTACTATTTTTAATTTTATTTGAGAGTTATTTGTAATATTTTCCAATAATGCAATTCCATTGTAATTTTTATCTTCAATTTTATCATTTTATTAATTCAACTCCATTGGAGAGAAAATTTGTGAAAATTTTATTTCATTTCAAATTTAATGTGTATAAAAAAAAACATTGAAAAGATAATAACGGGCGGCCCGTGTCGTTCTGCCGGCCAGGCTGGCTTGTGGGTTGAGTCTTGGGCCAGGTTGGGCCGTGCATTGGGCTAAAGCTATTTATTTAAAAATTTGAAAAAAAATTTAATTTTATATGAATTTTAATGTATACAATTGCTTATATATACAATAATTAAATAAACTATATAATAAAAAAATTATTTACTTTATTAATATATTATATACTATATATTATTACATAATTATAATTTATATAATATTATATAAATAATATATATGGGTTGTGCTAAGCCATACTTGACACGGCCTGCAAACCATTGTGCCAGGCCGTGGGCAGTACAACCTGATTTACACCTCTATACATGGCTAGGAACTGGGCCACATGCCATGTCAAGCCTGACCTAGGAACTGATGGCGTTTAGGCCACCTTCAATCCATGCCATGTCGGCATGAGACTGCCCACATTACAGGTCTATGGTGGCCCGAGGCTCGATCCAACCCGATTCATTTTCGGGTCGGGTCATATCACCTTCTAATTCGGGTTACTAGATAGGGGCCCTAAACCACTTATCCGGCTTGTGAGGGGTCGGGTTCATGGATTGGATGGACTGTTTTTTTTTTTGCTAGGTCTAGAACCCGTTCATGCATTTCCATTTCCAAACTCGCAATAAAAACATTGTGAACCTACTAAATCATCCGGTCTGATACGAGTCTGACAAAAGTGCCACCAAAGTTCCCAACCTAATCCTCATTGCTCAGGTGGCATTCTATCAACGATGGCCTTGATCTCCGCCATCGGTGAATATATCCAGATTGAATACGGCAGCAGCTAGAGCCTAAAAATTGGGACAAGAAGAGAAGCGAGAAGCGACTGAGACCACCGTGATGAGTGGGACCCACGTGTGTATGGATAGATTAACATTTAACAAGAACATGTGTCGTTGAATTGGCATTTGGCAGAACCTGGGAACGCAGGTCGCATGTCCACAACGTGTCTCTCATCAACCCAGGTGTCTTCCAAACAGTGCAGACACCTTCCTTCTTGACAGTTGACACCCCTATTTGAGCAACTTTCATGGACGACCTTCTCTTCATCAACACTTCTCCATACACACTCGATAGAAGCAAAAACAGAAAACACAGTGACAACATAACCATATATGGCAACCATGTATCTAACTAAGAACGCTTTCTTCAAAATGTCAAGGGCCTTCCCTCAGAGCCCTTCTCTTTCCTTCCGATCTTTTCACGCCCGTACCCGTAGAGTCTCGAGAGTTTCCTTCACTCCTGTTTCCAAGTACTCAGAGGTAATTAAAGATAACTTCTTCACTTCATTAGTTTTGTTTCGGTGGGGTTGTGCATGTGTAAGTGTAATTAATGTAGTTACACTAGCTCTTTTAATTTGGTGGGATATGATGAATTTCAGGGTCGTAATGCAGCAGATGATATGAGCGATGCAGCTTCTATCATTGCCGACAGCATCAACAAATCCATGAGAGAAGCTGGGCGCTATGCTTCCGGCATGCCTGAAAGAGAAAAGGAAACCATGTATGACGGCATGGATAATGCAAACAAGTATGGGAATGACATGAACGACGACATGACGAACAACACGGCGTGGTCGGCGGTCGACAAGGCTAAAGAAGGAACCCAGAGGGCAAACCAAACTGCAGAGGACATGATGAACAAGACGAGGGACACGGCTTCGTCGGCAGTTGACAGGACCAAGGAAGGAATGAACCGAGCAAAGGAAACCGCACAGGACATGGGGAACAGGACCAGCGGCATGGCTGGGTCGGCTGTCGACAAGGCCAAGGAAGGAACGCAGCGAGCAAGCGAAACTGCAGAGGACATGAGGAACAAAACGGGTGAGACGGCTTCGTCGGCAGCTGACAGGGCCAAGGAAGGAATGAACCGAGCGAGGGAAATCGCACAGGACATTGGGAACAAGACGAGCAGCATGGCTGGGGCGCCCGTCGACAAGGCGAAGGAAGGAACGCAGCGAGCATGGGAAACTGCACAGGACGTGACAAACAAGACGGGTGGGATGGCCGGAACGGCGGTGGATAAGACAAAGGAAGGAGCGAGTCGGGTGACAGGAACAGCACAGGACGTGGCAAGCAAGACGGGCGACGTTGCGGGTTCAGTGGCAGAAAGGGCGAAGCAGACGGTGCAGGGTGCATGGGAGGCGGCCAAGGACACAACCAACAAGGTGAAAGAAACGGTGGTGGGGAAGGCGGAGGAAGTTGAGGAGTCGGCGGCGGATGACGATATCGAAGATCTGAGGAGGAATGCGGGAGCGGGACGTTATTATAAGGAGTGAAGGACGTAATTCGCTTTGCTTTCTGTTCCTGTTTTTTTTTTTTTTTTTTTTTTTTCTTTTCTTAAGTGCTACAGTGGAGTAGAATTGCTGGTCTTTCATCTGTTCTTTACTTTGAATTGTTAATGGCGTTTTTATACAAAATTATCTCCATCCCTTCTCAGTTCTCATTCCCAACTCCCCAACTATGTCGATTTGATGGGCGGGGATTATATTAATTGCAGAGGGGAACGACGAACGAGTAATGGACTGGCCCGGCCCGTCCATTGGCCTAAGTACTACTATACCATGTATACTATGTAGTATGTACCCATGTTTTAAAAGCCGACCCGGAGGCCATTTTTGCCTTCGGGTTACCGGTTTAACCGTTCGGGTTGAATGGGTTTGTGTCACATAAATCCATACATCATATATTTTATCAATAAATAATATATAATTATATTTTATATTTAAATTTTGTTTTTTTTTGTATTTAGGTTTTAATTATTTATTTTTAAAAATTGTGATTTGAGGAGAAAAAAGGTTTTTTGTAAGTGCTGTAGAACGTATAGATGTCGAAAAGTTACCTAAAATCAGAAAAAAGATTATTAGAGTGCAAAGTTATGAGTTTGTATGTACATATAGTGTGTAACTCTTATGGGTCAATGGTTCAACCATTCAGATCAGATCAGATCATCAATAAATTGAATGGGTCAATGGTTCAACCATTCAGGTCAGATCAGATCAACTAGTTTAACTGGTCAGGTCAATCGCAGGTTAAAAAACACCGAGTCCTAGGAATGTGGAAATGGAAAGAAACCACCATTACTAGCTAGCTTTTGCCTGGCTTATAGCATACGTGACGTCCACGGTAAAGATTATAAAGTTGTGTACAACAGCTCTTATAGAAATTCTAAATTCTAAAACACCCAAAACCTTTTGACTTAAGTCAAAAGTCAAAAGATTTATAGAAAACAGTCAATACATAATTCTTCATATTTACGGATTCAGCCACTAATCAACAAGCCAAAAAGACCAAAAAGGAAAACAAGAACTAAAGCTATTAAACCAAATTTGTAAGTAATTATTTAAAAACAAGTGCATATCCTTCTCTCCCTTTTTTGAACATAAAGCAAATTTTGGACATATCGCACCAAAACACACAGAAATGTAATTAATAGGCAATTCCAAAACCGAAATCAAGATAGAGACGGCATCCATCCCAATTTAAAACAGTGATTAGGTCTGTCAAAAAAAAAAAAAAAAGAGAGAAAGAAAGACTAGTAAATGAAATAAAGAAATTGAGAAAGCAATTAAGCATTGATATAGTTGACACAGAGCTTCAAAGCCCTCTCATTAGTCATGCCCAGAGGCATTTCATGTGATAATGTCCCTGAATATTGATTGTCTTTAGAAAAAGACTCACAGCCGACCCGTGGCGAAGGCAACAGTTTGGTACGACAGCACACCCAAGATGCGAGTTTCGAAACAAGGAACTAGCGGTCCGAACTCTCTACAAGGAACCCGAACTCCCCGTAAGGAGTCCGAGCTCTCCCTTAAGCCCCGAGCTTTGCAAGCACAAAGGGCAACGACCCAAACTGACTTGCCCCATGGCAGGTTGGGACACACCTCTATCCGAATTCAAGACTTCACCTCGCTCACCACTCCAGCACTTCGCCTGTAGGACGCCAAATTGAACAAATCGTACCACACCTAACACCGAGAAAGTTCGTACCTAGGGGCAATGCACCTGACTGACTTGGGATCTGATGCTTGACAGCCGCACTCCAACAACCACTTGCCACCGCCACCTGCTACCGCCATCTCAAGTTGCAGAGACGGCTCCGACAAAGAGAGCAGTGGCGGTTCTGTTTCAGCAGAGGTGATGACACCCGAACTGGCAGTAGCGCAGGGATAATCATACCCGACCTAACAGAAGCTTAAGAGTAAGTGCACGAGCTGGTTATAAAAGGCTCCCTACCCCCCAAGAACGAGGTATGTGAACTTTGTGCCATCTGGTTTTATCTTGCCTTTGAGAGAATTCTAACTTGAGCTTTGAAGCAATCTCACCGGGTTTCCCCCGAAGTTTCCTCCTCTTCTTCGTTTCAGGTTCCCTGTAGCTCCGTTCAGAGGCAAGGTCATTGACAGCTAGGACCGGCCGGATTGCGCACCATCAATTGGCGCCGTATGTGGGAAACGCTTTTAAAAGTCTCCCTCTAAAACTCTCATAACCTCTTCTTCTTCCAAAAACCCCAACACTCATGGCTTCTTCCAGCAATGCCAGACGTGGCACAGAGACGAACACCACCGGGGAACAACTCCAAGTCCCCGCGGTGTGCATCAGACAGTTCACCATTCCCCTTCCGGTGGATGGGATCCACAGCTTGAATGCGCCACAAACAGTGGCGCCCGTAAACCTTCCTGCCATGAACATCCCTCTTCCACTCCCTATCGAAACAACTTTTGCTGAACCGACTACTGTCCCCCTAGCAACCTGCCAGAACCAGTTTGACGACCTAATGCAATGCATGCGGGCAATGCAAGCCCAAATGCAACAATTCCAGCAGCATCAACTCTAGCAGCACCAACTACTACACCACCTCTCTCAACACCACTATCAGCAGCAGTTCCCCCAACTACCCCTGAACCAGTCATTGCTTCCACCTCGGCACCCTGCCCCGAAGCCGGTTAAGGCCTCCCCTCAGGGTGGATGCCCTCACCGAGGAGAAGCCTCCCAACTCCAGAACCCCCCTAATAGCCATGCCTCATCCCCAGGCCGAAGGGAAAGGAAAATCACCCTCGCCTCGCAGCTCGCAGGTGGGTCGAGAACCTCGCCCGCAAAGTCAACACCTCGGCGCTCCAAGCCTGAGTTTCCACTCACAGAGAACCGGTTAAGCGCCCTAGCAGCAGACTACCAACATTCCGGGCCCACTGAGCTCGGCAACACAGAGGCCAGCAGCGTTAGTACCAGGCCCACTCAACAATGAAGGCGCCGGCGAAGTCACCGAACTGCCACCCATGTCCTGCCCGAGCTCAGAGGTAAGGAAGATACGAGCTCGGACGAGGTAAAAGCTGCCCCAATTCTCTCAGTTCCTTCCCCCCTCGCATCAGAACTCCTGGCAGTCCCCATGCCCAGAGACTTCAAGCTCCCACATTTGGACAAGTATGATGGGTCCTTTGACCCCAACGACCACGTTGATGCTTTCCAATCCCATAATGCACCTCGCTAGGGCCAGTGAATCATGCATGTGTGTGGCCTTCACCACCACCTTTAGGGGGGTGGCCTACACCTGGTACAGGAACCTAGCCCCGGGGTCAATAAGAAGCTGGACCCAGTTCGTGCAGGTCTTCATCGCACACTTCGTTACCAGCAAGCGGTGCCCCAGAACTTAGGAAAGCATCTTCAAAGTAGTCCAGAGAGAAGGAGAATCCATCCGAGGCTACATCAAGCGGTTCAATGAAGCGTGCTTGCAGATACCGCGATTAGACCCCGCGGTACAGCTCGCGGCGGCCAAGAGAGGAGTAATGCACAAGGAGTTTAAATGACACATGGTAGTCAGCCAGCCCATGACCGTGGCCGAATTCCTCAAGCTCGCAGACAAGTTCATGAGAACAGAGGAAGAGATCGACGAAAGGACCGAAGGCGGGGTCGAGAAAAGGAAAAGAGAAGGTGAGCCCTTCAACCCAGGTGACAGAAGAAACCCAGCCCGGGAGGCGAAGTCGAGCCAGCCGTCTCGAGCTCCCTTAGCAGTTCGGATGGATTATACGCCGTTAAACACGAGGCGGAACAAGATCTTGATGACGATCAAAGACGCCCCGTACATTAAGTGGCCACCTCGCCAAAAGGGGAATCCAAACGAGAGAAATAAAAATATGTACTGTAGTTTTCATAGAGATCACGGTCGTAGTACCGACCAGTGTAATAATCTCCGGGACGAGATAGAGGGACTCATCCATCGTGGATACTTGAGAAATTTTGTACAACATAATAATAATAATAATAATAATAATAATAATAATAATAATAATAATAATAATAATAATAACAACAATAAGGCAGGTCGGCAAGGGGAGCACGGAAAGGACGCCCCCGAATCCAGCAGCAGACCAGCCGAAGCGTTGCAACGACAGCCTCCGGAAGAGAGGCCAGTTCGGGCAACCATCCATGTGATAGTGGGAGGTTCGGTGGTAGCAGGGTGTACTTCAGCAGCAGCCCGGACGTCAGTTCGCAAGGAAGCCCGAGAAGAACAGAACCCTCCAAAGAGGCCGAAGACAGAAGAACCGATCTTCTTCACGGAAGACGATGCGCGGGGTGTCCACTACCCCCACGATGACGCGCTCGTCATAAAATTAAGGATCAGCAACTTCGAAGTCAAGCGCGTACTTGTGGATTCAGGTAGTTTGGCGGACATCCTCTTCAAGTCGGCATTTGACCAGCTACAGTTGCGGAGAAGCGAGTTGAGCCCGCAAACACTCCTCTGCTGGGTTTCAGTGGAGAGGAAGTCAGACCCCTCAGGAAGATAACAGTACCTATGGAAATCGACGCATGGCCTTGTGCGGTCAAACTCAACCATGATTCCCTGGTGGTCGCGACCCCCTCCCCATACAATGCCATAATAGGGCGGCCAATTACGCATATTCTACGGGCAGTGGTCTCCACCTACTATTTGGCAATGAAATTCCCTACAGACTTCGGTGTGGGGGTAGTGCGGGGCGACCAGCTTGAGTCCTGCAAGTGTTATGTTGCCGCCCTAAAGGGAAAACCAAGGCGGCCTACGACCTAGAGCTGGAGCGGCCTACGGAGCAGGGCGAGGAACGAGCTTCGCCCATAGAGGAAACGGTCGCAATCCCAACCTCGGCTACGGATCCGGCTCGAACACTACAGATCGGTGCTTCCATCAAGGAGCCTCTACAAACCGAACTGGTGAGTTTCTTACTTCAAAATTTAGATATTTTTGCATGGTTCGCGGCCGATATGCCCGGTATTGACCCTGGCCTTATAACTCACAAACTTAACACTGACCCTGTAGTCAGACCCATTAGACA